TGAGATGATGTTGTCCTAAATGGTCGTGGCATCATGGTCGTTAGTACATCAATCTCCTGGGCTGCATCAGGTTGGCTTCACTCGATGGGTCGGATTGCTTCAGAGGATTGGCTATAAAATAAAAGGGAAATCATGGCAAGGACGAATCCCGCGAAGGGAAGTGCCCCCAACTTAGATCATCGATAGAACAAAATTGCTCATCATGCAGGTCTATCCACACAACAGGAAGTAATAGACTCACAGCATTCTCGACCAGCTCCCGAGGGCTCTTTGCCACGACTACCCCCTTCGGTGTGGCTTCCTGAGAAAACTTCTCCAAGGCCGTAGTGTTGACATCGTACACGGTCATCGAGTCCCCTTCAGGGATCTTTGCTCGTAGGTTCTTCGCCATGGGGTAGCCTTGAGGAGACTCGATCAGCATACATGGTAGCTTGGGTCTGGAAAGGAGCACAAACCCATGGCACCGAGGCCAATGAAGCCCCATGAAGCTTCCCTGCCGACCGTGTTGGAGAAGTGTCTCTTGATGCCATTGCGGAACGGGTGGGATGATGATGATGAAGCTCGCCGCAGCAGAGCGAGGGACATGACGGGCACCGTCATCGCTGCTGAGCTTGCCTGGTGGTCACAGAGGGCATGGTGAGCACTTGACTGCGACCGCCAGACGCAGGTGAAGTGAAGGTTTGCGTGCGCCGTGCGGAGTGTTGGCCGAGGCTGCAACAAGCGGTTTCGGGGAAAAGCTGGAGCTGCCTACAATTCATCCAGAGGCCGGACCGTGTCCAACCGAGATCCGGCTCGCCAACTCCGGCTTCTTTGCTCGACATCCTCTCACCAGCCAGTCTCTCTCTAACTGTACCGAGTGAATCAGTCCAGGTGCCACGAAAATCTATGTTGGTCCGAATGAAAGAAAAACTGTCTAGCTGGATTAATACCGCCTCTCATCCCCCGATCTCCCGGAATAAACGACTCAGTCAATCAAGAATAGAGGGGCCGAACGGATGCATCCAGTCCCACAGCCATACAGGCGAAAATCTGTGTGGCCACACCAAACCCCAGCCCATCCACAGAAATGCTTCTGCCCAACAAGAATGCAAGAATAGTATTCTCCTCAACGCCGTCTGGACTTTCCTTTCCCCTTCCCACTTCCCTCCGATCCACCACTATTGGATTTGGAAAGCATTGGAAAGTCTTCGTCCATGGCCATGCGGCTTTGTTCCTCGGCGAGACTCAACTGCAATGCAAACTCCACGTCATCCTCCTCTTGCGCCGTTGCTTGTGCTTTGCTGCTCCCGGCCTTCGCACTTCTCAAGGGCGTGCCATGTCTTGAGCTCTTTGCATACCTAATGGGAACATCGAAGTCACTGGCGCTCCTTGTTGGAGAAGACGACGCCGGTTCGTTTTCCAACAGGCTTAGACGGATGGCTTCCTCCAGTTCGGCATCGGTCGCATGGTCCGCACCGCGCTGGGATGCACTGGGCGAGCCCATCGAACCGCCGCCGTAGTTTTCCTTCCTCTTCCTCTCCTCACTGGAAAATGCCTCCTCGCTGAGCATGGTAGCGTAGGCCAGCAGCTCCTCCTCGCTCGCGCCTTCGCCCAGAATATCAGTGCCAAATCTGCCGCTCAGTCGTTCATGTTCTTTCTGCCTTGCGAGTCTCTCTCGCTCCATTTCATGCCTCTCGTTACTGATGTAATCCTTGATCAATCCGCGTCCAGTTGCGCTGACCTTTTGGCTGGCTGGTGTAGAATTACTGCCTCGCTCCGACCGCCGACGAAGTTGGCCCCTCTTGCGCGTCTTATACGCATCGGCGGCCGTGGAACTGTAAGACCAGTATCGGACATAAGAGCCCAAAGAAACCATGCCGCGCAAGACTGTCGGATCAGGGTCCAAGACGATTGCGCCTGCAGCGTAGTAATTGTTTCCCACGCCTTGCACAGAAGCTTCGGCTTGCGCGATACGTCGTCTTGCCCGGTCCGAGAACCGAGAATTTAGTGTCCTGACTGGTTCAGTTGTGGACGCCAGCACATCCCATGCTTGAACCAGACCTTCATTACCTCCATGCACAACGTACAATGAAGTGAGGGCAAGTGATGCAATTTGAGGAGACTTTGTGTAGATAACCCTGACCGGCGAGACGGCGTTGACAACTTCAGGGCTGGGAGACAGGCTAGCGCGCATGTCCCAAAGCATGACAATGCCTGACGTCGTACCAATTCCAAAAAGCCGTGCACGATGACCAGGGATCTCCGAGGTCGAGCTTAATGTTCCCGTATGACCTAGAGGGGATGCAAGAGGCGAGGAAGTGTTGGAGCCACCAGACATTCCAAGTAAGGGATCCTCATTGACATTCAGAGTGGCGAACTCTGACTCGTCAGAAGCCACAGCCGAGATGTGGATGTTTCGGTGTTCAGCAAAGGAGAAGGTTGAAATGTGCCAAATGTCTCTCGTTCTCGAGCCCGCCCCGTCGTCTTGACTAGGAGTGCGCGATCGCGGGACACTTCTCGGCGCTGGGGAGGAATATGGAGACTGCTGGATTGGACTTCCCGTACCAAAGATCGAGGGCTGCTTCGTGGTCGATTGGAGGGTTGGCCAGCTGTCCCGCTCCGAGTCAACAGTGTTCTTCGTCATGCACCTGGTAAAACGGCGCACCGAAGCCACACTGTTCCCGTACAAACCGCAATCTACGACGACGACAGATTCCCCTTTATTGTGACCATCGTCGCCCGCAAAATCAGCAATCAATCTTCGCTGCATATCCCACCCGGTACAGACATTCTGGAAATGCTTTGGTTTGTGCCGCAGAAACCCTTCGACCTCTTTCGTTTCAGCGATAATCTGGTCTTTGCTTAAACCGCATGCATCGCTCGAGATGCGTGGACTGTAACTGCCATCGACCTTTGCGGTGCCAAAGGGGTCTGGTTTCGCTGTTCGCCGCGTAGCCTCGAGTAGCGACCACTGTACACTTCTCCCCGTTTTCCAGGCAAGACGATCGAGTTCATCAGGGGACGCTTTGCCGACAAAATCTGGTCTGATAGGGGCATCAGTGAGGTAAAAGACTTCTCCGAGAGCGTTCAGGACGGTAGCCCAGATTCGACCTGTAGACAATCTTCGAGCGGATACCCTCTCATCGACACAAATTGCAATGATTGGGACACCTGGGCAAAGAACCCATTTCGCAGTGAGCTCCCCTTTGTCGTACCGGCGATCTTGGACGGGGTTGACACCAAGGGCATACGCTGCCAACACACCGTTCGAGAATCCTGCAAGGAAACCAAATATACCACTAGTGGCTTTGAGAACCGACTCGGACTTTGCGATCCAGACCGAGCAAACAGCACAGCCGATCATAGTCGTCTCAGGGATCCCGAGCGCATGATTGGCTGTCGAGGACATGGATACGAACCGGCCCCGTTGTTCGCTGGTCGAAGTGTAGAAGACACGTCCTCCGGGACAAGCCTCTCCATATACCTTCCCATAAGGCTGACTGAGATCCATGACATTGGCCATGCCAACCATATTCCCAGGGCCGAGGCCATACGGCAGTTCGCCCGGGAACTGATCCGCAAAGTGTTTGAAAGCATCGAAATCTGTTAGACCCCAAGAGCCAGGTTTACCACTGGCCGGGTCGCTCACAGTGACACCCCCTTGCTCAACTGCTCCATGCATGAACAAGGGCTGTTTCTTGTTGAGGCCGACCCCAAACGTAGCGTGCAGATGGCTGACGGGATAATACAAGCCCGAAGCGTAAGTGGTGACCGCAGCGGCGGCGGCACTAGGAGCATGGCGGGATGCACCAGAGCGAGAGATTGCCTCGATTGCAGGTCGGCCGCGGCCCAAAGAGCGCAGCAGTCGTGTTCGAAGGATATACTCGCTTCTCCATGAGGAAAGGGCCGATAACCGCGTGAACGACCTGCGCTGTGCTCTATCAACATCAGACACCGACTCTTGTGAAGCCTTGCCTGCTCCAGCGCCCAACGCTTCTTGCCCAGGGAAATACCTCGCAAATGCAATGCGCCATGCATGAGGTGTAGTGACCAATTTGTGAAAGCGCTGAGACACGAGGCTCATGGAAGACAAGGTCTCGGGAGGCAGATGGGAGAGAATGTGAGTGAGAACCTCTGTCGCTTGTCAGTGCCTGAATTCGAATTAACCGTCTCCTCGTAATTACCATTCGGGAAGTTCTCAATTGAAACTCTCGGATTCTTGTCTTTCGCAGATGGAATCACCTGGAAGATTATGCCATCCGATGGTTTGCGATACCGTGTGTGTGCCCTTTCATATTCGTCGATACGACTGCCAGGAGAACCTTGAGAGGAACTCTCTCGACTGCTTATCCATCTGGAGTTGGAGGACCGTCCACGCTGGGTGCCTCTGGAATGGACGGAGACATTGTCAGATTGATCCTCCGGATCTGGACTGGGCGCTCTGGGGCTACTCGTGGAGAGTAAGCCGCCAGAGGCCTGGTGTTCGACGTCTGGAAGTCCATGCTGCGTAGGAGGCGAAGGGAGTTGAGGAGTGTGTTCTACTGAAGTCGCGGTTTGGGAGGCTTCAGAAGGCGCAGGGTGCATAAAAAGATCTAAGAGAAAGCTGGATGGATCGTCAAGACTGAGCCAAGGTTTGGATCAGTCTAAGAGTCTTGCGCAGGTAGGGTTTTGAGAGAGTCAGTTGTCTATCGCAGCGAGATCAGAGAGAAAGGAGGCGTTGAGGGTTGAGGCGTGTTGTCACAGATTAATTCGACTGATGGTTCAATCTCGGAGCGGAAGCCGGCTAGCCGTTTTGGGCGCCGCGGCCCAAAGTGAGGGACATTTTAATAATGGAGACATTTATTAGGAGTATTAATTCCCTGTTACAGTAGGTAGGTAGCCATTGCAGCCATTGGGAATCGTAACGATGGCCTCAACTCCTACGCTAATCCAACAACCATTTGCCGACACCAGCCGATAGATCCTGCTTCGATGTATTCCGTACATGGGGTGCAACCCCGGTTGTTCTGTTCTGCTCCAAGCTACGCCGAAGGTCTCACTCCATTTTCCAGCAATATCTTCTCATTGCTGGGGAATCTGTCGTTCATGAAATGCGTGTAAAAGCGGAAGTAATCTTTCAAGACGCTGTCGTCTCCATCGGAGTCCTCATCGCCTCGAAACGCCGCTTTCTTGACCCCCTTTGAGAACGCCAAAATTGGGTAGGCCTCGACGTCCTTCTCTTCTTGGAGGAGGATCTGCTCGAGAACTTTGGCTTTGTGCGCGATGCTGTTGAAGTGCCACTGCTTGCCGCGATAGCGCATCGAGAGGTTGAAATCCTTGAAATTGAGCGTTGGAGAAGGAGCCAGCGCAGGGGATTGAGCTTCAGGCTGAGACAGACGCGGGGCTTCAATGACGACCGCTGGGTTGACTGGTGTGAAGCCCGCGTGCGCGTTTGAGCCGGTTGTTGAAGGTCTCGCATTTGGAAAAATTGTGTTATTATTAGGCGGGACTTGGGGTTGAGGTTCTTCTCTCAGGCCGACGACTGTGCCAGTCTCTTCTGGCGGCCCCGTTGATTTGCGTTGCTTCTTCTCGGAAATACTAAAGCGGCTGGTACGTTGTCGCTTTCTGCTTTCGCTGCGTAGGAGCGCATCGTCTCTGCCTGAAGCGTGATGAATACTTCCGGCATCGGATTCTAGTGGGAGAAATAGGTATGGCTGTCAGTCTGTTGTTCTCCCTTTGGCCGAGTGGGCTGGTGACTCGGAGCCTCTATCAGGGGGTTTACTTACCACCAGAAGACTCGTTGGCATAAACTATGACGCGGTCAACAGCACCCTCGCCGTCGACGGTCTCCGGACTTCCTTGCTTTGGAGAGTGCAACAAGCAGCCGGGACAGTTGGCGGCACCATTAATGCGCTTATGAAGGCGGTCGATGGTATACCAGCGTTGCATCTTCATAATCTCGGTTACGTAGTTGAGGATGGTCAGACGATGCTCGCTTGCCTCCCATTGATAATTCTGCATGTCTAGGTCAGCCGCTACGCAAATCTAAGGGCGCCTGGTAATATCGATGTGCCCGAATAGAGGTGAGCTTACCAGAGCAGCGTCCCATGAGAAGTGGCGGCTACCACCTCCGGACTCGAGGAAGGCAGAGGCGACGGGTTCAATGGCTTCATCGGGTGCATTTGGAAGGTCGTCGATGTTAGATTTGAGGTAGGATTGCGCATCTTTGCGGAGGTTGGACTCGGCAACGCCGTCCATGCCCAGCTCAGCGCACAGGACGCCGATGGACTTGGGACCTTTGGGCATTTTCGAAAGAAATGTGGTGACCAGTGCAAGCTGGTGGTATGTCTAAGAGAGGTAATGGGTGATGGGTGTTGGGCGTCAGATGAGATTATCCGTGTTGCTCTGTAGTCGGAAGGCACCTGCTGCAGCCGCCGACGTCGTTCCTCGGCCGACAGCAAGCCCCGGCGAGAGTGGATGGTGGGAACAGGGAATCAGATCAACAGTGTCACTTCATCAGAGCGTCGGTCGTTGAAGACTGGCTATGTGACAGCGAACAACAAGAGTGTGCGGGACGAAGCTGGTCCGGATCAGATTTTGATTCCTGCGGCATGTGAAATGTCCAGAATGTCGTGTCAGTCGCGTCGCTCTCGCTCTCAGTTGTGAATCGATCGCCGTCGGTCGCCCAACCAAGCAATCAACGTGAACAACTCGATAGACTTAGATTCTCTCTGAGAACAGTCAAGTCTCCATCTGCTCAACCAACAAAAAGTGTAGGGAGTGTCGGCTGAGGGGTCGAGGGTGAAGGGAAGGGGGAGGCGCGTAGTTCACTGTTGATTCTGGCGGGATGTGCAGGACGTGGCGACACGGCTCCGTCGACGCTCTTCGCCCGTCATCTTCACCCCGAACCTAATAGCCATCTAACGACCACCTAATGACACCTAACAGCCACCTAATTACCACCCAACAACCACCGAATAACCACCTCATAACCACCTCATAACCGCCACTTCACTTCCCTGCTGCATCCCTGCTGCATCCCTGCACGCGCTGCCATACTGTGTGATATACCTGCTTCAAGTTCGGGTCAGAATACGCATCACTGTGGCCGTCTACCAGTACAGGACTGTTGCCGCCTCCGCTCTTTTCATTTGCTCATTTCTCCTCCGCTCACAGGCAGCAAACACACCATTTCCCAAAAAGATAGACAGTCGGCCCTCCTCGCCTCCCCAGAAAACACATAGCAGTCATTCTGCTCAGCATTCTTCTTGACAGACACTCCTTCATGTTCTTTCTGCTTCGTTGAAATACAGAGACTCATGGCCGACACAATTACCATCCTTGTTGCCACCGACAACCATGTCGGGGCCCACGAACGAGACCCAATCCGAGGCGACGACTCCTGGAAGACGTTCCATGAAATCATGTGCCTGGCCAAAGATCGAGACGTCGATATGGTCCTCCTCGCCGGTGACCTCTTCCACGACAACAAACCCTCTCGCAAATCCATGTACAACGTCATGCGCTCCCTAAGACTCAACTGTCTGGGCGACAAGCCTTGCGAGCTCGAAATGCTCTCTGACGAGTCGGAGCATTTCGACACCACCTTTGACCATGTCAACTACGAAGACGCCAACATCAATGTCGGAATCCCGGTTTTCTCCATCCATGGCAATCATGATGATCCCTCCGGAGAGGGCCATTACTCTGCCCTGGACCTGCTCGCCGTCTCCGGGCTGGTCAACTACTACGGGAAAACGCCTCAGAGTGATAACATTGTGGTCAAGCCTGTTTTAATACAGAAAGGACGCACGAAACTAGCCCTGTACGGACTCTCTAATGTTCGAGATGAGCGACTTTACCAGACATTCAGGGATGGCAAGGTCAAATTCCACCGCCCCAGCAAGCAGATGGGCGATTGGTACAATCTGATATGCGTCCATCAAAACCACCATGCACATACCGAGACATCATACCTGCCCGAGAACTTTCTACCTGATTTCCTGGATCTTGTCATCTGGGGTCATGAACACGAGTGTGATATCGAGCCCAGACTGAATCCAGAGATGAACTTCAAGGTTATGCAACCGGGCTCCTCTGTCGCCACAAGCTTAATCCCGGGCGAAGCTGTTCCTAAACGGGTCGCAATTCTTACCATCACCGGCCGGGAAATGACATGCGAACCAATTCGACTGAAAACTGTTCGGCCATTCGTGTACAAAGACATTGCCCTTGCCGCCGACAAGGAAGCCGTTAGGATCGCTAAATCCAAGGATGACCATCGTGCGGAGCTGACACGGCACATGATCAAGATTGTGGACGGACTGATCGAGCAAGCCAGGGAAGAATGGTTGGAGGCGCAAGAAGAAAGAGAATACCCGGACGAAGAGCAGGAAGAATGCCCATTGCCCTTGATCAGACTGCGTGTTGAAACGACCTCGGCGGTCGGCATCGGCAAATTCGACATCGAAAATCCGCAGCGCTTCTCGAACAGGTTTATTGACAAGGTCGCCAACACCAACGATGTGGTGCAATTCCATGTCAAGAAGAAGAACGCAGCTGCCCGCGCGGCTCGAGATGCTGAAGCAGATAAGGAGATCATGGCCAGATTTCAAGGTCAAGAAATCATCAAAGTTGACAAACTTGTCCGAGAGTTCCTTCAAGCCGAGTCCCTCACCATCCTCCCCCAAAATTATTTCGGCGACGCTGTGAACCAATACGTAGAAAAGGACGACAAACATGCCATGGAAATCTTCGTGAACGAGTCCCTCGCGGATCAGATCAAGCACCTAGTCAGATTGCAGACGGACGCGAATGAAGATGACGACGACGATGAAGATCTGGCCATCCAGATTCAAGAGCAGCGTGCAAAGATGGAGGAAATGTTTGCAAAGGGCATGCTCAAGGCATCAAAGAGTACAGCGAGGTTTAAACCGAAGCCGGATGATTGGGATAGCGATCTGGATGGACCGTGGGAGGAGACTCCGGGGGCGTTGCTGCGTGATTCAGAGGATTTGGAAAGTAGAAACGGCGAGGGGGATGAAGATGGCCAGGACCAAACACCTGCTCCAAGGACAACAGCAGCGAGAGGAATAGGGAGAGGAAGGGGTGGTCGAGCAGGCTCATCGGCCACAACAGCTAATCGCAAGGCAACTGCCGCAGCGAAGAAAGCCGCCTCAACGATAACTACCGCGCGGGGGCGGAAACGCACAGTTCCAGACGATGAAGAGGATGACGAGGAGGACGGCAACGTCGTCATGGAAGATGATGACCAAGATGACTCCCAAGCCATGTTCGTCCCCGAAAAGAGTAGGACCGCCACAAGTACACGGGCCCGCAACACAACACTGGCCGCCAGTGGTACCACGACAACGCGAGCCGGAGCCAGAACCAAACCTGCCTCCTTCGCATCATCGACGATGCCAGCGACGAAAAAGCCCCCAGCCCGCGCCGCGGCTTCAAAGCAGAAACAATCAACCCTCACTTTTACCACGTCGCAGAACAGCATCCTGGGGAATGGGAGGAGCACCGGCGCGAGTCGAAGTCAGAGCTATGAGGAGATTGATGACGATGACGATGACGCATTTGAGCCAGCGCCAGCAACGAGGAGGAGGTGATGAACTGTGGCATTTATGCCATGGGATTTCAACTGCCAAAGGGATCAGGGCGCCAGTGCAACTTACCTATCTCCCGGCCTACCTGTCTACGCATAGTAGGCGGGAAGCTCAGATGAGGAGGTTAGGGGATGTAGATCAGCATTAACACGATGCGATCAATGTACCTGGGAACTAAAAGAAAAAGTCTGTTGTTTGATGTTGTACGGAGAGCACCAGGGCAAGAAAAGCCACAGCATGGAGATTTCCTAGAGTGGGAACCGGAATCCGGCACGTCGGATCAGGAGGACAGCACAAAGGGTTGATAGATTCTGTACTCTACCATATGTAATAACGAACGTTATCTGGTCCGGGCGGTGTCCAGTATCGGAGTCCTGGTTCCACCGCGTATCAAAGCCAATGCGTGTGCTCAAGAAAGGGTTGGACGGCCATCTATCTGTCTCTGAGTTGACTTCCGTCGAATTGATTCTCATTCGAGCATTTCATTCTCACGCTCTCTTTCCTGCGCTCGTCCTGCTCGCAACTTTGGAAAATCAGGCCCAGAGACTTGAGGATATACCAAAACTGGATCGCACTCGCACTCTCCACGCAACGCTCAGTCCACTGTTCGTCATGACGATGCTCACTCAATCTTTCTTTCCGTCTTCCTTCCCAGCTGGGGTTGGGGTGGCGCTGTGAGTTCCCTCAGTACCCCTTGAGCCTGTGCTCCCTGTTGTGGTGGTGGCAGTAGAAGCGCCAGTGCCAGCAGTTGCATTTGCATTTGCGTTTCCTTGACCTCCTCCGCTGCGTCTGCCACCTCCAAAGTTTCCTCTTCCGCCACCACCACGATAGCCTTGTTTGCCACCACCCTGGCCTTGGCCAGCCCCGCTGGCGCCACGGGGACCCTCTCTCTTTCCTCCACTGCTCCCGCGTCCGCCCGGACGACCGCCGCTTGCGCCTCCTCGAGCGGTCCCTCGCGGCGCTGTAGGCGGGGTTGCCACGGTTGGCGTTGCTGAGGACATGGCTGTGGTGGATGCAGCCGCCAGACTTTCAGCAGCGGTGGGGGTCTGTGAAGCCGCCGTGGCTTGTGCAGCGGCAGCAGCTGGGTTGGGGGAGTTCGCAGCGGGTGAAACCCCAACGGGAGATGACGATGCAGCCCCTGCTTTTCCCTGTCCAGATGCTGTCTGATTTTGGCTGCTTCCCCCTCCGCCACCTCCGCGCTTCCCATGGTGGGACTTGTTCTCTAACACGACGACCTGCCCCTGCGCAACCTTGACTGGACTCGCTGCCATGGCTTTCTTCAACGCCTCGGGCTCTTGAAAGTCAACATAACCTAGTCCCTTTTTCTTATCAATCTCACAGCGGGTTATCGCTCCGAACTCCTTGAACACTTGCTGAAGAAGGTCCTCCGTGATTCCTTGGGACGGGTTCGCGTGCTTGAGGAAAGCGGACTTTGCGCCGGATGTGGGCTGCGGAAGAGACGAGGTTTTGGACTGGCGTTGAATGGACGAAGGTCGAGCCGAAGACGCTGATGGTGCGCTAGGTGGTTCCGGCTTTGTCGATGTGGTATTTGGAGTTCGTGCAGCACGTGGACCGGTTGGAGGAGCTGCAGGGGTGGTGGTTGTAGCTGGGGTTGTTGGTTTGGATTGTTCTCCAGGGGGCTCTGAGGATTTCGCAGCGGTGGTAGGAGTTGACGGTTTCACTGTTGAAGATGAAGCTACAGTGTCGTTTGTTGTAGCTGTGCTCGACGATGGAGTCTTAGGAGTGCGCTGTGAGGTGTTTTCTCTCGCAAGGAGCCCCAGATCCCTCTGCAGCATGCGAGCAGCAGCCCTTCCGCTGTCCCGCTCTCGATTGCGCTCTCGCTTCGAAGGTGTGGTAGCAGGTGTTGATGCTGCGGATGCGGAGGGCTGCGGCTGGGCCTCTTTTGCTGATGTCTGTTTAGTTTCGGGTTTTGCTGATGTTGTCTGCTTCCCCTGCAAAGCAGCCGCTGCTTTGTTGGCCGCCTTCACTGCATCTTGGGTTGCTTTTACTACTCGCTCCTTTTCCTTCTCTGTCAAGTTGGAAGTATTCTTGCCTTTGATGATGACTGTCGGAGTACGCTCACTCTTGGTGGGCTTGGCCTCCTTACTTTCCCGCTTCGCGGCTTTGGCCTGCGCGGCTTCTTTGGCCTTGTTGGCCTTCTTCTCTTTGATATACTGGACCAGTGGGGTGATGGTAACCGTGTCTGCTTTGACATCGGTGGCTTCGGCTCCGTTCGATGCTGGTTTGTTGATTGGCTCAGTGAGACTTTGTAAGAAATCGATGAATTCTTGATCCTGATCGATGGTGCCTTGTCTACCGTCGTGTCGAATGCGAGGAACAGGCATCTTGTTGTACGGTGCGAACTCAAGAGATGGTGGTCCCAGGAGGCAAGGATCCTTGCTGGTGTTTTTAGCATCCTGAAAAGATGATTCTCTGACCGCTTTGGACAGCAAATCCAACAGTGACTGTTCCTTGACTTTGAGATAAGCTCTGGCTGGTCGCGAGGGTTTTGCAGCGCTATATCCAGTCAGTCTGGGGTCAATTGATTTTGGAGCAATGCGCCCAACTCTTTAGACACTTTTCCATCTTTATAAGCCGCCCACTCAATCTTACCATTACCGACTTTCCAGTCGTCGCCGAGGATTGTCCAGAATTCAGCTTCTGTTAGTCCAGGGGGTAATCGTCGGATGATCAACCTCAGTCTGGGTGCTGGCGTCCTTGGAGAAGACTTTGACGCAGACTGAACAGCTGCATTCTTCCTGGCCGCAGCATTCACAGGCAGGACGCCTCCTGCTGCGCGACTCTTAGCGTGACTTGACATTGTTGTGAAATCCAAGTTGAAAGTAAGAAAACAATGAGGGATCGATATCTGAGCCTGTAGGACCGCGAATGAGTCACCGCGACCACCCTATTCATTAAGAACAATGTCAGCATACAATCAATGTGACTGTCAGTGAATAAGTAACATTGTGAATAGTGAATACCGGACGGTAGGAGGGGCGTTAACCTCCCAGAAATATCTCCTCCTTCGGCCTCTCGGATCGGGTTTACTTTTTGCCGATTTAAACTCACGTGCCGCGATGTCTGCAGCGGCGACCACGTCGCCAACCACTCCCTCCTCCGCCTCCTCTACCACTGGCCGCAACTTGGACGCCGCCAACGTCGCCGTAGAGACGGCGGACGCTCCAGAAGCTTTTCCCGTCTTCGAAGAAGAATCTCCTGAGGGTTCGCCCTCTTCATCCCCTTCTCCTTCTCCTCCTCCACCAGTCCGCCGCCGTTCTCGCCAAGTCAACGAGAACGACCGCCGCGCCTTCTTCGGCCTGCCCAAGCCGAAGGTCTTCAACTACGTCGACCTTGTGCGGGCCCTCCGAACTCCTCCTGCGCCCGGATACCTCCCAAGAGCCCCAACCAGCCAGTTGGGCACCGAATCTACCTACAAACGGGCAGATCCAAGCCAAATCACCTCCTTCTCACCGGCGCCATGGGCGCAATTAAGGTCCCAGTCCCAGGGCCCGCACGTCTCAAGCGATCGGCAGGACCCGACGAGTGGCTTGAGGCGGCAAAGAACTGCAAGTATCTCTCAGAATACCACATGAAGCAGCTCTGCGAGATCGTCAAGGAGTACATGATGGAAGGTTTGTTGTCCAATGCCGCAGTCTCCTGAGGTAGATCTGACCGAATCATCAGAATCAAATATCCAGCCTGTGTCTACCCCGGTCACGATCTGCGGCGATATCCATGGGCAATTCTATGATTTACTCGAACTTTTCCGAGTTGCAGGAGGCATGCCTAATGAATCGGCACCCGAAACACCTGTCACACCCGCAAACATCATTACTTCGGCAGACATTGAACCACCTTCTACTATCACAGACCCGAAACTGAAGAAGAAATTGAAACTGGGAGGAACAGAACATCCTGGTACGCCAAGCGAGAAGAGCAGCGAGATCAGCGATGCCGAAGAAATCCTTTCCTCACAACACTCCGAGATCGAAGACGAGAGGTCAGAGTCGGGGAACGTCATCTCACGCAAACAAAACGCAAATTTCATTTTCCTGGGAGACTACGTCGATCGCGGATACTTCTCACTTGAGACACTCACGCTTCTCCTATGCCTCAAAGCAAAATACCCCGACAAGATTACGTTGGTCAGAGGAAATCACGAGTCTCGCCAGATCACACAAGTGTACGGCTTCTATGAAGAGTGTGTACAGAAATACGGAAACACCTCAGTCTGGAAAGCCTGCTGTCAAGTCTTTGACTTCATGACGCTAGGAGCCATCGTAGATGGCAAAGTCTTGTGTGTGCACGGTGGTCTCTCTCCAGAAATTAGAACGCTCGATCAGGTGCGAGTCGTTGCACGAGCACAGGAAATCCCTCACGAAGGCGCATTCTGTGATCTCGTATGGTCAGACCCCGAAGACGTTGAAACCTGGGCAGTATCCCCTCGAGGAGCCGGGTGGCTGTTTGGAGACCGAGTCAGTCAGGAATTCTGCCATGTCAACGGCCTCAACCTCATTGCAAGAGCGCATCAATTAGTCAATGAAGGCTACAAATATCATTTCAAGAGTCAAGACGTGGTGACAGTATGGAGTGCCCCGAATTACTGCTACAGATGTGGAAACCTGGCATCGGTGTGCGACATTGGCGAAGACATGAAACCAACATTCAAGCTCTTTAGCGCTGTCAAGGATGAGCTACGACACGTTCCACCATCAAGAGGTGGACGGAATGAATACTTCCTTTAGGATCGATGATGATGATCAAATGGCCCAGCAGTGCCAGTCAGGACGAATGAGTTTGGGCGGATGAGCTTGGAAGGGATGGAGGACTTCTTGCTTGGTGCCATTTTACAGATATTCCAGCATAGCGAAGGCGCGAAGGTGGGCCCATGCATGCATGTAACAGATATCTAGAGCTGGTTATAGAGCTGGCCTTGGAATGATGACCTTGAAACAACACTGGATCCTCCTGTTCCTTCTCTGGCTTGCCTGGGCTCCGGAGTAGTCGATTGCTCCCCGAGTTCCCATCCGAAAATTGGAGATGAGATGTCGGAACAACGCAGATTCTCCGATTTCCCAACTCATAAATCTCACGTCTCCAGCCCGACAAACAAGAAGAGAACCATGCGGCGGACATGCGAAGGACAGCTATCTGCCTCTTCAGGCAATCCTTGAAATGCGGCCGACTCAACCTCATTCAGATTCGCAATGGGACGTTCTACAGAGAACACCCATCAGCCGACCGCCATGACTCTTCAAATCCACCACTGTTCCCAGACCTGACATTCGAGCTGCCTGCTACGATTTACGAGAAAGGTCACCCTGTCGAAAGGGAAAATGAGCATTGGGCCGTCGTCAGTGCATCAGATGGCGCGACATTTCTCGAGATCCTAAGGGGTTCACACATTTGCGTGCCACCTAATGCAAGGTCCTACCCTTACCTTGCCTCCAGCTACATCGATGATCGGAGGGACCACCGCCTTCGTATCCCTTCTCGCGCGATTCAATATGTGGGCTTCAACAGTGGAAAAGGACAACTTGCTGGTGGATCGGGAGGAGTAAGAGGCGCATACCTCAGTGCTCGCTACGAGAGTCGACGAGAGGAAACAGATTGGACGGTCATGCAATATCTCAAGGGCGACACAGAACTTAATCCAGGAGAAAGAGGTCCAGATGAAGGTGTCGACAGCCGCCTCCTCGACAAAGTCATGTCGGATTTACGGTTGGAAAAGTTGAAAAACATGCCAGTGAGCAACCTCAGCAATGGACAGACCAGACGAACCAGGATCGCAAAGGCATTACTTGGAAGGCCACTCCTTCTCTTGCTCGATGAGCCCTTCATGGGCCTTGATCCGCCTACGTTGGTGACCCTGTCGCCTATGTTAAAGAAGCTGGCGTACCGGTCAAGCCCACTTCTGATGCTCGGGTTACGCCCTCAAGACCCGATACCAGATTGGATAACCCATCTAGTCGTTCTTGGTCATAACCACACCGTGGCATTGATGGGTGAAAAATCGAAAGTGTTATCCGATATACGTCGGTGGGTGAATGTAGCTTCTGGGTCGCAAACCTCGACCACAAGCCAAAAATTTGTCGACCAAATCACAAGGGAATATGGCCCTCCACCGGCGAGCGTGACGGGTGATGTCTTAAGCGAAACAGGGATATCAAGACATCCAGAAATGCTTGAAGAATCCAGTCCTGCACCGAAAGACAGGGAAGAAATCGGACGATCTCTCGAAAATGGAACAGAGATAAAGAACTGTGATCGACAAACACTCGACGACCTCCTTAGCCTCGCCGTCACTGCTGCTCCCACACCACCCTCTAGATCTGCCTTGGAACCCACGGCATCCTCCCAACAGCAAGAATGGTCCGCGCCGCCCTTCCCCGGCGAAAGAGACAGACAGCTCGGCGACCCTCTCATCGAACTCTCGTCCATCATCGTGCAATACGGCTCCAAAACCGTTCTCGGCCATTCTCCCCCACAACCCGGGCACACCACTCCGGGTCTGAGTCTGACAATCAGCCAAGGTACCCGCCTCGCGCTCCTTGGCCCTAACGGGTCCGGAAAGACCACCCTTCTCTCGCTCTTGACTTCGGATCACCCGCAGTCTTACTCGCTGCCAATACAGTTCTTCGGTCGCACAAGATTACCTGATCCCGAGCGAGGAATCCCGGGGCTGAGTCTGTGGGAGATCCAGAGCCGAATTGGGCATTCTTCTCCAGAAATCCATCAGTTCTTCCCAAAGCACTTGACTGTCAGAAGAGTGCTAGAAAGTGCATGGGCGGAGACCTACGCAGGGAAACCCAATCTAAGCCCAGGGCGAAGTGACATGGTGAATCGATTTCTAAGCTGGTGGGAGCCAGAGCTACGACAAGACGCCATCGATGCCTCTGGGGCTAATTTTGGATCAGATCTGAGTTGGGCAACCGACAAACAAAGCCACACTTTCGGTGCGCTCCCATTTTCCGCACAGCGACTCCTCCTACTCCTTCGTGCCATCATTAAGCAGCCAGACATAATCATCCTCGATGAAGCCTTCTCGGGCTTGTCTGCGGACACGAGGGACAAGGCCATGTTGTGGCTTGAATTCGGGGAGAACAAGATGAGACCACACGGTGCACCAACGACACAAGAGACACCGAGCCCGCACGCCTCAACCGCTACCAAGGCTCCTGTTTTAGGTCCGCAAGAACACAGCGTCCGCTTCACAGGTCTCACGCCCTCCCAGGCCCTCGTCGTGGTCAGTCACGTCAAGGAAGAGATACCCGACTGTGTGGATGAATGGCTCCGTCTCCCAGGTGAGGAGGAAGTCCTGGAGAGCAGCAGGGGCGTGGAAGGCGGCCGCACACACGAAAGAGGCTGGGTGAAGTCCCAAGAAGGCTGGATGACGGTCTGGGGCCTGTAAGGAGATATCGGAGTTTTTGTGCGTAAGGTGTACAGGACATATGAGGATAAATAGGGGCCGCATGAGGGGCAAGGGGCGATCATTCATCCATCTATCCATCATGTTCGGTGTTCACCTCGCCGGGACAAAGAAAATCACGATACATGCCTTTCCAACATATAATTCTCCACACGGAGGACTGAGAATCAGACGCCAGAAAGACGACAAAAGGCATGTTTGATCTACCGCATAATACACGTACATGTGATCATGTCCTTGAACTATCGACGTACGAGAACTAATATACCGAACTCGAACTCGAACTTGGACTTGAACTACCTCCCCAGAGCAGTAGACCACTCTCCACGGCCGGCGAGTATGGAGCACCATCCGACCTATCTACACAGGGTACCCAGCCGCCTGGTACATCCACAGCGACACAATCCTGGAAGCACGGTGGAATTCCTCAATATCATGCCCCTTGCGGCCCAGCAAAGCAGACCAGGTCTTACATATACCTCCCTCCGTACACGGCAAGCCTGCTTCCGTTAGAACTGCAGCAACGGCGGCGGCAGTGGCCATACATATCGAGAAGGCAGGAGGATCTAAGTTCTAAGTTCAGAAACCGTGCGTTGTTTGTTGTCATTAATATATATTCGCGTGTGGTGTGTCTCTTCAACGATGGCGACGGTGACGACTGAGGGCGTGGACGACCACCATCACGAAGGAATGACTCAGACGTGTCGACAAGAGCCAAAAGACCTTTCATTCATGTACCAAGTCCCCCGTTTTCTCCACGTTTCAGCCTGACCGGAGACCGCAGCAACAGCGAGGGAGGGGTATGGGTATGTATAGGTTTAGTATTATATAGATTTCAGGATTTGGATACAAACAAGTTAGATCGGATCGATGTCTTATCTCAAGCGTCGTCACGGGTCGTTGATACATGCATGGCACAAACAAGAACAACTTTTCTTCGAATCCCATCCACCTATTGTCGCTTCCGAAGTAACTGCGGTGGAAAAGAAAGCAACGTCAAAAAGGATCAAATTCCTCCCGGAGATAACCAAAGGCCAAATCTTGCGGCTGAAACATTAACAAAGAGAAGAATCCCACAGCTTTAATTAATCGTCGGCCTCCATCACCGACCGATCTCGTCTGCTACTCGATCGATCCGGGATCATATGAAAAGGAATACTAAACGCCGAGCCGCCGCTTGCCTGGCTCCGTTGGCTAGCTTGCCGGCGCAGGATGCGTTCTTTCATCCCAGCGGCGCTAGCAGGTAGCGGGTGCTGAGGTGCACGCTGCTGGGTTGGAGTCGGAGTTTGTTGCCTCTCAGCGTCGTCAGCCACTGGTGGTCGAATAATTGACTGTCGGGGAGAAGACACAGGTATTGGGAAGTTCGAAAGAGAGACCTCGCCGGGACTTGGTGGCTGGTATTGCAGGTGATGATTGAAGGGATGGCCGTTGAGGCGAAGAGGGGGCGGCAGGTGTAGAGGTGGCTTCGGACTCTCCAGGTCATTGATTATGGACGGACCAGGCCCGTTGAGCTCTGATTCAGCTCTCTGCTTGCCCTTCTCATGAGGCTCTCGGGATGTAGCGGTACTACGGGTTGATCTCTTCCTCCGAGCCTTTCCACCCTCCCTTTCGTGCGACACTGTCGTCAAATGATGGTAAGGTGTCTCCATTCTACCATCCTCAACCCGTGTGTCAGCCTCGCCGATCGCGTCTGCCGGGGTAGGTGAGTGTCTGACCTGTGAAAAGATGGAAGACGGTGCGACCGGCTTCCCATCGCTGAAGGAGTAGCCATGTTTCGGAGGGTTGTATCTGGTTGATGGCGACTCTGGCGCAGGGGATGGATGTGTAAGAAATTCCTCGTTCAAACTATGTTGGAGTCGAATGAGAGCTGCGCGGGCATCGGCTTGCTTTTGAGCATATTCTCTTTCGTCAAAGGTCGATTGGTACCCGGGAACAGAGCGAATTTGCTCCTCGGAAAAGTCACTGTCAATGTACAAATTACTGCCTGTTATTCGTGTCTCAGTCACGATCTTCCTGGGCGGCTTTGCGTGGCCGTTGCTCTTGACTTCTACTTCTTCGGGAACACTGGTCAGCATTGATCTGCTAGGAGTGTTTGCAAATTCCCTTGTGCTCACGCTGGAGGGACGAACTGGATCAACAGGTCCGATCGAGTTTAGACTCTCTGGAGGCATGTGAATGTATGGGCGAGCCGATGGCAGCGAATCAGTATCATGCTCAGACTCGAATGTTGGAATTGCCGGTGCCTCTTGTATTCCAGGCTCGACGGTCTTTCCACTATCGGCAGCAGCGATAGTTTCGTTTCCACTCCCTTTGTTCGGTCTCGATGTCTGTTTCTCGATCTCTTTGACCTCGTTTCTCGAAGGATGATCAGGGCTGCGCTCGTTTCGCTGCACATGCTGCCTTGGATGTGCAGCTACCCCGGCGCCATCCCGGTCGTTTTGCAATTCGACCGCGTCAGAGCTGGTTTGAGTTTCCTCTGTCTTGTCAGATGTACTTGGCGCTTCCAAAATAACGCTTGCTCGAGGCGATGCGGATGCAATAGTGGTAATGGGTGAAAAACTGATAGTAAAATGAGAACGAGCAGGAGGGTTTTCTGACCTGGGCATTTCTGAACGTGGCTCTAGCTGTGGTTGAAGAGATTGTAGAATATCAGTAGCAGCAGGCTCTTCTACCCTAATAGGTGAATGGTTTGTTGTCTGGGTCAACTCGGTGTCGGTTTTCCCATCTTCTGTAGACGGCCCAGACACAGCGACTCCCTGTCCTTTCCGCATTGTATCAACTTTCGCGTGTTCTAGGATGGGAGAGGAGCTGTAGTTTGACGGAGGAGAGCCTTCAGAGAAAACTTCTGAATCGTTACCGGTCAAATCCATGATTGTTCGATTAGGTAGGTTGATTGTGCGCTTCACGGAAGACGCGTTGCTTAAGTTTGAGGGCGACCGCACCGAATAACTATGGCCTTGTGAGTCCGTAGAGTGGTCTGGAGAGGTGACAACTCCCTGACGGGGCAGTGCAAATGGTTCATTGGACTTCACTTGCGTCACTTCTGTGGCCGAAAGTTGATAGCTGCTGAGAGCACCATTGGGAAAGGCAGAAGCCTGGAACTCTCCCGAACCCCTTCTAAGATGTCCATGAGGGCCATGAGCCAGCATAGGCTCGTGAGAACTGCTCGCTAGTGTTGTCGTGGGGCTCGCAAGTGATTGTGTCTGATGGGGGTCCTCAGTACTATGTCTTGAAGCCGGCAATTCGTGCAACTGTCCTTGAGAATCCCAAGATCGATGACTTTGTTGTCGGGAATGCGTCCCGATCGAACTGTGGATATTTTGAGTGTGTCGGGAAAAAGGTCGCTCCACGGGTTTTTGCGGCGACCGCGTGTGGCTGCTCACAGGGCTAGATATCCCTCTCATCTGAACAGGCGACTGGCTGCCATGAAACCCACTTTGACGAACAGGCGGAGAGCTATCAACACTGCCGCTTCCAGGGAGATTAGGATATGCATTCCTGGCGGCGACTTCTTCTTGGAATTTGGAAGTAGGTACGTACTCGTGGGTGCCTTCGAGAGCAACTCGAGCCAAATCCAAGTTCCGTTCGGCCACGTCCTCATTGTACCCAGGTCTGAGGGTTGGACTATTCGAGGTTGAGAGGGAGAAGATGTCGACATAGCGAGGGGTTTTGGGTCGGACCTGGTCTTTTGGGTATCTATCTGCAGGGTACTGATATTCTTGCTCCGCTTTGGCAACAGAGTCTGCCGCTCGAGTGACGGCGTTCATTAAACTGCCGCTTCCATCCGTACCCGGCCGTGACCAAGAGGTTGAAGGTCTTGCGACACCACCACCCAGCGCAGACTGAGCCCTGTTACTAACACTGGGCTTGTATTGATTGTCTGTCGAGGTAGTTCGGGTATGGTTCGACCGCGGGCTTGTAGTGATTGATCGGAGGATGTGCTCGGTGCTCTGGATCTTTCTCAGACTGCCCACTCTCGACTCATGTCTTCCTTCGTTCCCTTTGCTCTTCCGGCGAGTCCATAACTTCTTCAAACCACTCTCCATGGTGATGTCAGAGGGTCATTCCGCCAGCCGCAGCAGCAATTTGTCTCCCGCTCATGTATAGTCGGTAAGATCCTGAATGTTCTCCACCACATATTAGGCGTCAAAGCCGGAGGACGAAGATAGTGAGCCTGGAACCAAATTATGGAAGCAGACTTTTCGTAGGTGCAGAGCAGCAGGAACAGAGATCGACGAGTGCGCAGGCTAAGGTCCGAATTGCCGGAGCTGCAAGGATAGCTGCTGGTGTCCGTATGCAATCACGGACCACCTCTTCACCAGCGCTCCGATATCATATTATCATAATTTCTCCACAATACCGGTTCCAAGATCAAATCCAAGAGCAGGCGGGTTGGCTTGGAATAGGCAGGATGATGCCTCAAGGGAGTTTTGGTCGCAGGTTGGTTGAGGCCACAAAGGGAATACGGGTTTGCACAAAGTTTATAATGTTATTAGAGGAAGGGATTGTACCCAGATTGCAACGGATGTCATCGATAGGCCCAGATGGGTGGAAAGTTGCGGGTTGACGACGACAATTGGGGGGTTGGCAGCTTGCACAAACCAAGACGATGGAGCTGCCTGTAGGATGTTATTTTTCTGGCTCCTCTTGCTCCTATCTCCACCCGCAGGCCCAGCCCACTAGCCGTTGAAGCTCTGATCTCTGGCGGGTGGCTTTTACCCATCCATGGCCTACCTAAGCTCATTACCTAGGTAGGTGGCCCAGGCGCCTGTCTTGGGCCTCTCATTATTGATCATCAGCATCCACAAAATGTCCTTCTCTGCGATGGATTGGGCGGGACGCGGGAGCTGGACATGGCTGGATTTTCTCTTACTGTACAGGGTACCAGAAGCGAAGCGAACCACCAGATCGACGCCTACGAGGTACAGGCTGCTCTCTTCACTTCCGCCCCGCCCTCAATCAGTGTCCGAGCGTTTGCCTTTCAGGGATCTTCCCATCTCGAAACTAAGACCCATCCAGGCGTACCACCTCGGCGCTTGCAAACCAAGTCGGATCACTTTGCAATAGGTCCTGAAGTCCAGAGAAGAGGAGGGAGAACATTTGACAGGGTCCTTTTCCTGGGGAATCGGGAGGAGGTGTGGCAAACACTTCGGGTGTCTGGAGGGGGCTGTTAGAGACGCCGTACATTCCCCGCTAAAGAGCACTGCTAGCCAACAAAATGCAGGTGGAATGGTCCGAGCACAGCCAGGGGGGACCCTGCTGCCCTGCTCAGGCTGGTTCTGGAGCAAGGGACTCCGGCGCCGCCTGAAGGACTGACACCTTGACACACTGACACAACCACTCAGTTGCCTTACCGCCCCCTCGGATTAGCACCCGCCAACGGGCTTCCAGCCAGTCACGGACCCGCCCAACAACATTCCTGCAGAGAGCATGCCGCTCATCACCCTCTCCAACGGCTCCAAGAAAAGCTAGTGCTCCCAATGCCATCAGAAAGGGTCCTGAACCCACAGAAGGCCGATCATCTTCGATGACAAACACCGAATGGTCGTCCGTCATTCTGAATGCCACGGCTGTTGAAGGAGTAACGCGGATTCGCAAACAACTTTCTGGGGATTGGCGAAGAAATTTAACTGCACATCCCCCAATGGACCGATATGCCACCAGTTTGGGGATGAGATTGACCGTCCGTGGCACCCGAGCATGGAAAAAATGCGAGGAAGGGTCTACGAAGTCTTGTGGGAAAGCTCGAATCAACAGATTCTAGGCCCAAGAGAGCAAATTGTTTCTCAAACGCGACACTGTTTGGCGTTGTAGATATGAGTGATAATGCTTGTAGAAGAGAGGGGAAATCGGTAGATTCCTATTCTCCGCTGACTTCTCTTTCTCAATCTCCCTTTGCGGCGTTATAATAGCTGAGTGCTTCTCAAATTGCCGACCCTGGCGGTGGCATCATTGGCATAACAGGCAACCTCGATTTATTGTGCACACGCAATTTGGCGACTCGTCTTCCTAGCACTCGGACCATTTGATCGAGAAATTGGATTTCGTCGTCCATTCGTGCAAGTTTCCGCTGAACCTCCGACCGCAACGGAGGGATGTCCAACGCTCCGATCTGAGCGCCAACGGCCGCGTTGATTCGTTTCTCAATTTCGTCGTCTGGTGCTTTGCGTTGGCAACGAGCAAGATCCTGTTCCATATCCTGGTTTGATTGTTCTTGGCACTCACGCTGATGGGCAGCAGGATCCGGTTCCCTATCGTGCTTTGGTGGTTTTGCAAACTCTTGAGAATCACGTTCACGGCGAGAAGGATCTTTTTCCCTATCGTGCTTTGGTTGTTCTTTGGAATCACATTTGTCGGTTTGCTCATCTCGCCTGATAGAACTGCCTCTTCTTTCACGTTCCGAGGTATTTGTTCCTGATCCCCCGCGGCTCTTGTTTTTCGGAGTGGTGCTTTCATGAGCGTTGCCGGTAGAACTCACCATACCTCTGTTTACTAGCACTCCTTCTTTCTTTTTCTCGATTATTTTCCGTAGATAGTCATCGTCGACCGCTGCGTCGTAGTTGCCGTTGATTGCTCTTTTGAAAGGCCGTCTAAGACCCACAAGCATGCGGGTGCGAATACCGCCTTTTCGACTTTGTCGTCTCCGAGCATACTATAAAAGCTCGTCGCGTATATGATGAAAACCACCAAAAACAGATTCGTCAGAGATGAAGAGTCGCTAACGGAATAGAAAAGCAGAGTTCCGTGCAATATTAAGAGCAAGTGCACGATTGCTTGCCATATGTCGATGTAGGCAATAAGCCAGATAGTGATGGCGAGGAGGATGAATACGAATATGCCGAAGGAAGATGCCATCGTTGAATGTGGCCGCGGATGGCACAATCCTTGCTTCGTGCAGCTTTATTGCAACATAGATATTGCAGTCAATGTGGGTGAGAACAAAGACCAGAAAGAAGCAGTATCGGTGCCAGAAATAACATAAATTACACCTCTACAACCATCGATGATTGGTGAGGCACTCGTCTTCCTTCATCGGAGGTAGTGACTTTTCTACTCCCCTGGCAGCTTCGTAAGACATCTTATTCAGTCGCCGGGGTAGGTCTGGTGGTCCCGATATGCGGATGGAATGTGGCCCGCACGTGTATTTTGCGACGACCAAGAAGGCGCTGATAGCAAGCATTGCAATGTTAAGAATTCCTCTGCCAGTAAGACCCTCCTAGCACTTTTCCATGATGGGGGCCCATCAGAATGCTCCCATAGAAATAATCGTAGAGAGATACTCACAGGAAGCAAAAATACAATGAGATCCAGCAAAATAGAGATGAGATGTTGATAGAATGGTGAAACTCTGACATGCTGGCCGCTCACAATCAGCGACACTGTCGCGGCAGAGAAGGTATAGACGAAGACGTTCAAGACATCAGTCCGAGGAGGAGTGTATTGCTGAGACATGTTGCTGGTGGCGACTGTGTTTGCCCTTCGTCAATTGCAACTGAAGATCTGAACTCATTCGTTCTCACACAACTTGTTAGGTATCTTCAGAGCATTATATTGCACATGTTGAGCATCGCAGGCGGCACACAGGGCGATGGGGGTTCAAAATTAAATCCCCACAGGTTTTTAGGTGAGGTCTGACAGGATCGCATTTGCTGGCGTAAACAACAAGCCAGTAACGGGCTCAATATAATTGTATGACTATCTCCGCCTGATTGCCAGATGAGGCGACGCCAGAGCATCACGACTCTAGGTGCAGGAGTTTGAGGTGTGCGGCTGGACTGTGCACTAACTTCGGCAAATGAGCTCGCCTTCTCGTATACTGTATGTAGACATGTTATGAGATGGGGACTTTTCTCCATGCGATTGGATAATGATCAATGATCTCGTCGCAACACCTTTCTAGTATCAATTGGTGTATGGGCAATCAGTGTTTCCTTTCGGGAGTCAACTAGATACACCGTTAAGGACTCATCTTCAGGCTTCGTTGACTGTGTACGGAATCCTATTTGTTAAGGTACTGACCCTCAAGCTGCCAGATGGGGAGACGCCGAGAGGGCAGGAGAGGGCGACGGATCTGTCTGGCCATGCCAAGGCGCTAACCCATTTGTAGGGCTAGATACAATTGGGAAGGCAGGCTGGATCGCAGCGAGCGGCTCTTACCCAAGTACCGGGTACATTTATCTCAGTTCTCGGACCCATCGGCTCAATTGCCTTAAGGGGGCAGGGCCCACTGCTTTGCGCCGAATGTTGTGACTGGCCGGCGCTTTAGCTCGTAGTCAAGCCAATCAGGGCGTAGCCTCGATATCGGGTCTGAGGACAGAGACGATATTACTTGGACATTGGGAACTCGTTGCTGCGTTCGATCAAGATGACAAGACTCTGCTACAGCGAAATGGATACACCATGCAAGAGGAACATCTGCTTTTTGACAAGCACTTTTTGTGTGACGGTGGCCTCCCCTAGCGTGAACAGGTGTTAAGATGTGCACCAAAATGGCAGGACTGCCGCCTCGGCACTTCTCGATGGTTTCCTATTAGCTTCTAGACAACTGTTGTGACCTTTTCAGCGCTGCCAGCTTCCTCAGTCACGAGATCCAAACACCTTGTCGTAATCCGTCAAAGTGAATCGATATCGTATCTTGTTTGCCGCGACGCGAGACACCACCTCTGCGCATCCCTTCTCCGAGATGGGAACCGTCTCGACCATGGGGAAGAGCTGTTTTTCCGCTGCTAGTTTCAACATGGCCAAGGCCTCGGGCCTGTTGCCAATATGGCTCGCGCCAATGGAGCTGCCATTGCTCATAAACACCTGGGCCTTTAGAGGTGGTAGAGCCTCGTCTGGCAGACCAACTTGATGGAATGTGGCGTTAACCTTGCAGAGCGACAGGTATTCTTGCAGGTCAAAAGTGTGGGTCATGTCGGCGGTATTGAGCACAAAGTCAAAAGCAAAGGCGTATTTCTCTGCCCAACCTTTTTCGGTATTGGTCACAAACTCCTTTGCGCCCAGTTTCAGAGCATCCTCCTTTTTGCTGGGAGAATGTGAGATGACCGTGACGTCGGCGCCCAGAGCATTGGCCCACATGACCCCGAAGTGACCTAAGCCACCCAAGCCAACAATCGCGACTTTCTTGCCTGGACCGATCCCCGCCCGGACGAGTGGACTCCAAGTCGTCAATCCTGCACAGAGCATGGGAGCGGCGAGGTGGGAGGGAATGGCATCGGGGATGGGGAAGACGAAGTATTCGTGGGCCCGAATGTGGGAGGAGTACCCGCCCTGGGAGATGGTCTCGTCTGGATCGACCTCTTTCGGGTAAGGAGCACCATACGTGTCGACCCCATGTGGGCAGTAGTTCTCGTTGTCACTCTTGCACTGGGGGCATTTGAGGCAAGCCCAGATCTGAGCACCAACCCCCACGCGATCTCCAACTTTGACAGTCTTCACAGCGTCTCCGACTTTGACGGCATGACCAACTACCTCGTGGCCGACACAGATGGGCAGTGGTGCTTCTCCCCAGCCGCCATTGATTGTGTGGACATCGGAGCCGCAGACGCCACAGCACTCGATCTTGATATCAATATCGTGGTCGCCAAACTTCTTGGGTTTGAACTGCAGCGCTCAAGGTCAGCGTGGTTCCCGGCGGGTTTGCGAAAAGATTTACCTCTTGCTTGTGAAACTCGGTCCACTTCTTCTGGTCCCTGATCATGAACCCTTCGAAAGTGTCGGGGTAGCCCATGATGGCAGACGGTATTTGGCAGAAGTTCAATTGGAGGAAAAGAGGGCCGATCTGTACAAAAAAATACGCGTGCAAGGAGAACAAGAACGCGAAACAGAAAAGGGAAGTGGGCTGGAGAGAGGAATCCGTTTCTTCTCTTTCGGAAAATAAGTCTCAAATTTATCCAGACGCAAACACGCACGCGGGGCAGAATGAGCACAGTGACACGAGGGACCAAGTAAATAGGCTATGATGCAACCACGACATGGTTTCCGACTGTCATTCCACAATCGTGACGTTATCGACGACTCTGCAAATACCTACTACTTCGCGAGCAAACCATCAACAGCGACTGGCACGCGGCGAGCGGACGCCTTCAGCCACCACACGCGGGCCACACTGCCGCCGATGGTCGGCAAAATCCTCGACAAGTCCAGAAATGGATACAGAGTTCGTTACTTGTTAGGGGAGAGAACTTGGAGGTCAGGAAATGCTCCGGCGAATCATCCCCTCATTGAGCAGGCCCAGCCATGCATACCAGCGGCCAAGAGCCAGACCCCAACATCACAAAACTCCCCTCTTTTGCGAACAATGTCGATGGGCCGCCAACCGCGCATGTCGTGACGTTAGGTCAAATAAGTCACTGTCCTTTACCAAGAATGCATGAATCCTTAAGCCAGATATTCTATGCGAAGTAAACTGGCGCAGGAAACACAGCTCATCCCATCGCCCCCACCACCCCACGAATCCATGCATGAGGGCCACCCACCCAACCGGCCTTTCTACCGAGGAAGCCGAAGGGATACGTCGTGCACAGGGCGATACCTCGTAAGCAAGGCCACACAACACGAACGCCGCCATCGGAGAACAGACGGCGCTCCTTGCAGACAATCAAACTACAGACACGAAGAGCATCCCGAGCTCGAACTACACCCTGCTCGCTGCGCTTCGGGCTTCGATACCCCGAACCGTCTTCTTCCCTTCTCGTCATGTTAGCTGGCAACTAGGTCACGATGATAGGGATAGGAGATGTCCTCTGCCCCCTCAAAGTGACGAAGCATTATTCAATCCATCTTCCTACACCTCACTGCACACCATTGCAGCTCTCGCCAATGGCCGGTGTTCCGACGGGAATCACACTCGAAAACAAAAAGGACGATTGCTCCTTCCAGCAACAACGGCGTAATACTCTCGAATGGTATGCAATGGTCCTCGCACAGCTCCGATGAGGCTACAGTGACGATCCCTCATCTTGCTCCTGGGATGGCCACTGTTCTAAAGAGCCATCATGGATATAATCACCGAATTTTTGGAATCTCCGGTAAATGCTCAACCGATATAGCGGCAGCAGGTACTGTTGTACAGGTCTGATCATGACTCCCTCCCCTCGAGGATCTCTTCATCTCTCAGAAATCCTACCAAAAACAATCACTCAAAAATAATCAACCGGCGTCGTCGTCATCCCCCTCCGCATACTTGGCGGCTTTCCGCTTAGCACTCCTTCCGCTCAGAGTTCGCGTTAGTGCGCGCCGATTGACTGTGGTAACAACCGGAGCCACCTCCTCCCCATCAGTCAGGTCCGGCATCTCGAAGTCTTGCTCCTCCTTCCCCCCTTTGTCGTCGAGATACAATTCTTGGTCGCTTGGACTCGGGGTCAACACAGGTGTATTTGCGTTCTTCTTATTCTTCACGCTTCTCCCCAAATGAGGAGCCCGGACCGGTTTCCCCTTCTTCGCCTTCACCGCACCGTACACGCTCTTGGCTTTGGCGAGGTTAGGTGTGGTCCCAGGAGTCGCATTCGTGTTCACAATTTCAGAAGTGTTCGCATGGGCCGCGGAGCCTGGCGTATCTGCCTCTGCTGACGCTTCTCTTGCAGCCTGCCACGCAGCTTTCTCGGC